TCTGAATGGTACTTCGGACTGATGGCACATGCTAAGAGAAGAAGGATTTGTGATGCTGACACAGGCCCCCCAAAAATCAGTGAATCAGATTAAATGATTTGTGCTCCAACTTCTGTCTCCTGAAAGAGATGGTACAGAACCCAGTTCCAAGCTCTATAGCTGTTGTTAATCGTGTCAAAGTTGACTCTGGTCTTTTCTAAATTCAATTACTCTTTGTCTCTTACAGAACTATATCCATGGAAGCAGCCAAGCCCAATTTGTGGCAGAAACACACATTGTTCTTCTGTTTAGTATCCTTCCTACTGAGAAGCGTGCGGTTGGTGACGATTTTTCTGTTAGCTTATGCTGCTGCTTTTTCTGTGAGAGTTCTTTGTCAAGGCTTGTAACTGTCACCTAATACTGATGCAGAAGCTTGTGGAGCCTTTCTGTGTTGACAACTCTGCTTTTCTTAAGCCAGTGATCTTTTAAGTTGAATAGAAAAATGTTTACTGCTTTGTCTCCACCTTCTTCCTTAATGACTAAACTGCATACAGCATTAAAGTTGTGGATCTTTGTGTAATCATGAGATTCTTCAGGATAGCCCCTGTTCCTCTGTGCACGTTTCTTGGCTTTTCAATCTCACTTAGTTCTTGCTTTGGTGTTGAATTCCGTCCTTTATTACTGATCTTTTATTTCTTTTCTTACCTTCTTTACTTATAATCTTACCACTCATTCGTGCTAAAGATTCAGGATTTTTCTATGCCAGTATTATGCCATCAAGAAAGGCAAGCAGAAACTTGCAGGCTGAGAGCTTTTGCCTTTCTCATTTGTATACAAATGTTTCTTTGGAGTCATAAGAATACTCTAAAATTCAACATTCTTCTGTTCCCGCATGTGTGTTTTTGATCCATCATCTGTAACTTTAGTCATCTCAGACTCAAACTTTTCTTCCTTGTCTTGTCACCTGTGTCAGCTTGTGCATTCTTTCATTTTTTGTTCAGGATTTTAAAATTTTATTTAATATCATCTTTTTTTTCTTGCAGCTTTGTGGTCCCAAATTGCTTAGGTTTTACAGTACACAAGTATACAGAATAGCAGACTTACTACAGGCACATCATTTCAAAACCTCATTCAAAGTACCTGTCCTCTTCACTGCTTGGCAATGATTAACGAGCCTCTTCTGTTGCGACAGCAATGTTCTTTAACACAGTGACTTCTGCTAATTTCTCCCTTTTCTCGTTTTATCTGTTCAAAAGCCCAATTTCAGCAAGTGTTGGTTTTTGTTTTTTTTTTTAGTAAAATAGTACAAAGTAAGCAACTGATGCTTAAATATGCTGGTATTAAAAGAACTTCACTCTTGCTGTGTATTCATTATTGAAGTTGGTTTTTTTAACTTAAAAAATCCATTTGGAGGGAGACTTCTGATCTTTAACTGTTACTGTACTTCTGATGCACTTGGTCAAATTCAACCTAGAAACTTTTTGCTGATGTTTATTTGTGTAACCGCTATCCATCATGTTATGGACCCAATCTACCAGTTGCTGGAGACATTTAAAATGATAGAAGTTGGCAAAGATCCTGAAGTGACTTTTCTCTGGTGCTGAAGGTAGACTGCATCTGAAATGGAGAAATTTCTTAACAGTCCCATTGCAGTCTGATGAGCATTTCTCACTTCAGGAGGAGGATTGGGACTGAACATTTGTAGTGAAATGGAATGAAATCTTTGGGGATCTGTCTTTTGTTCCACTGGATCCACTATTTTGCTTTGCTAGGATTCATTCTTTGCAAATGTTGGGGCTTTTAAGTTGTCTGTGCTTAATTATACAAGCATTAATTTTTTGTTTTATAATTGAAGAATTGGAAAAGACTGAAATATTGCTACTGGAAAGATAGCCTGTAGCTTAAATATTGTGTGCATTTTATTCATTCTGTTAGCTGAGTAAAATGCAGAAGTTTAATTCTTTTTGGAATTTTCCAGTGGAGTAGAACAGTAGTAGAAGTGGACTGAGCTCTCTGGGAAAGAATGCATGTTTTTAATTTTGTGTCAAGACCTACTATACCTTCCAATTTACATTTTTAAACTTCGCAATTTTTTTCTCTTAAAAGTTGACATTGTGAATGGCTTTCAGTTGCTTTTTTTTTTTTTCCCCCCCCCATAGTTGCTGGTTTGGCTGGGCAGTCTTTAATCTTTCCAGTGAGTTTTAATGCCCTAGGTATGGAGCAGGAGCTTAATTTACAAGATTAGGAATGAGTGTATTGTATTGAGTCTATTGTATTTTGTTGATTTAGCCTTAAACAGCGTTTGCAGATGGTGGTGTTACTTTAGGAATGGTACTCCTCCATGAAGCTGCTACTTCTGACATGGATGTGGGGAAAAGAAAAAGTAAGTACTAGTCCTTCTTTCTCTGAGAGAAGGCACATTCAGTAAAGATCTTTTTGATCCACTATTTAATAGAAATGCTTTCGCACTGTGGGTTTTCATACACATCCCACCTCTAAGCAGAAGTGAATCATTTGCTTTTTCGGCAGCATTTGGAGTTGCTTAGCGAACTGCAGGATAAACTCAAAGCCCTTTTGGGAGAAGGGGAGATACAAAGATGCTTTGCAGCATTTTGCTCGTAAGGGAGAGGAGGGACTTAATTTCTCTTAAAGCAATGGTATAAAATTGATTTACGGGAGGAATTTGAAAGAAAATTGGTGTTAATCTAGTTCTTCTCAGTGACTCTAGCAGAGGTCTTATCTGACCAAATCTGTAAATGTTACAGAATGTCTTTGAAAACCCTGGTCACTGTGGTGTTTTCAGGGACAGTTGTCACATTACCAGAATCTTACTCTGCATCTCTTGCAGTCATGTGTATTGCTGGTATTGGCTTGGTGGTGTTGTTCTTCAGCTGGTTGCTGTCTGTCTTCAGATCTAAATACCATGGCTACCCGTACAGGTACGTCTCTTCTGCTGCTTCAGTTGTTGTTTTTCTGTGCATTGCAGCTACAACACCATAGAGTTTTTTGAAGGAAGTGAGTAAGCACAAATGAGGACTTAAAGATTGACAGTGATACTAGAAGTTTGGGGTTTTTATCTGGACTGTATGCTTATGAATGAATCTGTTCC